TTCCCCCTCCCCTGCGGGCCTGCCCCGGCTCATTACGCCTGTCCGATTTTATTGTAGGCCTCACAGATTACAAAACAGGCGTGTATTTCCGTTTTTTCGTTTACCGTAACGCGCAGCTGTAAATTACACACTTACCTTCGTTATCCCGGTCGCTGGTGGCGCTGTGTAGGGAATGTCAAGTCATCGCTCTTTGCTTGAGCTCGTCCTTTCTTGTGTGGTTATTTCGATGAAGAGGAACTAATCTAATAATGTTCTGATATTATCAATCGGAAGGGATCTACGTGTGTAATAGGATGCAAATAAACGTGTTAACAACAAATGTATTCATTTATTATTGCTTTCAGTTTGAATATACAAATAGATATATCACCATGAAAATGTGTGTTGAAATTCGACACATGGTAATGAATTAGTGGTAATTAAATAATGGCTTATGATGTGGAAAAGCCCACCGCTGTACAGGACGACTCGCAGTACTATTACTTGGGGAACATACATACTTCTAGGAAAAATTACTGGGTCTTTACACGAAAAGAAATAGTACTGTGAGCCGAGGGTAAGACTAGTGGACATCGCTGGGTGGAGTAAGTACATGGTTTTTCAGGGCGTTCCCGGAATGTTATACCGCTGCTGCAGTGATGGCATGAGCTGTTGAAGCACATGTGTGGGAAAACGATGTTTGCAAAAGACTGCCTTTGCGGCGGGGGCCTTTCCAGTATTTGCAGGAGGAGGTTAATGGGCGCTTCAAAGTGGATCCAAATATTCACTTAAAAAAAACAACTTTGAGAGAATGAAACGCACACTGGCACTTATTATTTCCATAAAAAAACATGTTTTAAGGAGAGTTTTATTTCTAAAGGTGCAACGATAAGCCTTCATGTAGAGAAATTTAATCAGGACGGAAAAATCATACATCTGGATACCTGCTTTGAACAATCATCTGCAAAACAGAAATTACACATATGCTCTACATTTAAACAAAAAAAATATTAATTTTCTGTTTAGTGAGTAATGTAAAATTTTGTTATACGTCTATCCCTTTTCAATAGATCAAACCTATTAAGAATAATCGAAGATATGCACTTCATATTTTTGCGTGTTATTAGAAACTTTCTGTTCTAAATAATTTGAAACGAGGATCAAATCATTCCAACGCCCTTTAGCCCCTCCTCCTGCTGGCGTGGGTGATGCACAACAGTTGCAATTGACTCTTCCAGTCGCTTCCTTTTTAAATAGCTTCCGTCGTTTACATATGTACAATTTTATTTTACCTCTATGTACACAATGTATTTACTGACATTTTCCCTTCAGAAAATGCATTTATTAAATAGTAGACCTCTAAAATGCAACATATTTCACAAAATATTTGATAAACCAGACGAGGAATGTAAAACTAAAATTAAGAGATTTTTGAGGACGCTGAACGTACATGTTAAACTAGCTTTTTTAAAGCTTCAGACAACTATCTTACTGCTAATCATTGCACAAAGGAAAGTTGGACAAATTGGCACATGTTCAACATTTTGCTTTTGACCAATCAAATAATATTAAATGATCATACGTACACATCATTTTAACGATAATATAGAGTTTTCTAATTAATAATAACATTCGAGTGTTATTTACAAGTGGGGAAGGAAGAAATACATAAACATTAAAGAAACTTACAATATTTTATACAAAAATTAAAACAATGTTTTAATAATACAAATGCTTTCGTCATAGATTTTTATGAGATTTTTTTAACACTGTCAAATATTCGTATACTTCTGAGCAAAATGAACGCTTAGGAAGATTCTTGATTGAAGGAAGATGGTGGCAGGTTGTATTTCAAAACTTTTGCACGATGCTAAGTAAATCTATATAGATGTTGAAATGAACGACCAGAAATTACTTTATAAGCAAATTATTATGATATTTCTGAAGAACATTAAATATGTTGTATAAGTCTGAATTTTTGATGTCAGATCATTGAAGGATTTTTAGTTGTATATTGAATCCAACTTAAGTCCAATAAAATAACGAATAAAATTTTAATAGACATTTGGTTAAGAGATGGAAAGGTAGATGGTTAATTGAAAGGAAAAATCACTGAGCGGTTCTCGAGGGGAACATTTTTTTAATACATTACTTGATGAACGGTCGTCCATTTCAAACATGGATGAAGTAAACCATTTTGAAGATTTCAGTGTTCTTTGGCCTATATTGACGAAACGCGACTAGTTATGTGGAATGGCCGTCTTGCTATTTTTCCTTAAAGCGGCCTCTCCCAAGGAGTAAAGGATTCAGCAGGCCACAGTGAAATGTGAGCAAGCAAGGGCTGTGCAACAAATACCAAGAATTTTCTACCTCAAAATTTCAAAGTTTTTCTACACCAATTATATCCTGATTAAGTCATTAAAATAAACGTATTACGACCTGTTATAAAGGGTAAAAAATGAGAGCAAGAACCGAACATCTACGAAATATAAGCACAGAACAAGATATTCTCTCAAAGATCAATAACATAGACCGGGTTATTAGGATGCTCTGCAGCTCGTTCATTAGGAAGTCATTGCGGAAGAATATTTATAAACAAAATATTGGGGGATGCACATTGGTTTGCGCGTTCTGAAGCTAGCTTATTGGCGTGGGTTCGAACATGGGTGAGGTTCGTAGAGTTTCGAAAGGTGGCAATTTCACAGTGCTTGCGTCATGTAAGAGAACACTGGCTAAATAATGTCAGAATTGAATTTCCCGACAATTCCCGGGCTAATGAGGTCCCATATTCGCTTAGCCGCGGAACGCCCCAAGCAACGGTTGAACATCGCTAAGACAGTTGTGGCTCTCCATGGCGGCTAATATAGGAGACAATTTTTACTGGCAATGCTGGAGCCTATAGGGTGCCGCCACGAATAAAATTCCCAAGGAATGGGCCAAAAGAGCAATCTATAAGAACCCGGGCATTACAGACAAACAAACAAACAAACATACAAACATGCATTGGTGTAGTATATGCGCGCCAGTTCCTTGTATTTTGTTTTGCTTGAATTTCCTTGGTGGAAGAGACTGTTCCTTAATAAATATGCTTTCCTAAGCCCTACAGTTAAAAGATTTCTCTGTCTCAAACTACATTAGGCGCAAACTATGACCAAATGCTCGTAAGACCATGTCTAAAACGATATACATGCAAAACAAAATACAAGCTAGCCAGTCCGGATGGCAGGGATCGTAAAGGCAGTAGTGCTGAAACGTCCTCGGACCGAAGGATCGCAGGTTCGAGTCCCGCCTCGGGTATGGTTGTATTTGTGTTCGTCCTTTCATCCATCTCCGATCATCGTCATTTTATGTCATCTTTGCAGTTACCATACCGTGAAATGCAATAGTGGTCGCTAATGGCTTAGGTGTTGATGCGACAAAAAAATAAAAAATAAATAAATAAAAAAATAAAATAAAAAATAAAAAAAATAAAAAAATAAAAAATTTAAAAAAAGGCGCTCATATACTTCAATTGGCTCTTGCTCTCGTCGGCCCTGCTCACGCTCCATCTCTCTCGTGGCGTGCCTTGCTCACCTTCACTCCGAGCTGAGGCATCGCTGGCCGTCGCGCGCCCAGCGACCTTCGTTCTGCGAGGCCTCTTCTAATACTGATTTTTTTTTTTTTTTGTTTGTTATCGTTTTGATTTTTGTGTTCGATAACAGACTGCTCGATACGCCTGCGTGCGTCACGTGCTGACGGCCGGTTTATTCTCTCCTCCTACCTCCTTCCTCCTCTTCTTTCTCTTATCTCTTCTTCTTCTTCTTCTTCTTCTCTGCATATAAATTAAGTACTAGCTCTGAGTTTAAACTAGAAAAAAAATATCAAAACTTGCTGTAAACTGCGTAGACATTTCACTCGTGAACCTTTGTTGCGTTCTGCGTATACAGTTTTTTGTTTGTTTGATAAGTCACTCTACTCTTTTTAACTAAAAGTAGTAGTTTATTGTGCGCCGATCCAGTTAACAGTGGTGGTGGTAAAAGTGAAGGATTGTTTCGAACCGATCGTTCAAAGTGGAGGCTTCATTACACCATTTTCTTGATGTGAGCTTTTTGAAGTTGAATTGTGTTTTTATAAACTATTCCGCAGTAATTTGTCATAACAATCATGAGAACTGGTAGTTTGAGATGCATTGATCTAGAATGTTATTAATATTTATTTTTGAAAATAATTTTAAAGAAGTGTTTATAAATAGTTTTTATTTAATTCACTCAACGTTTCAGATTATAACTTTTATGTGAACTTTCAGTGTATTGTATGCATGGTGATCAACTCTCTGTGATGATCAAGTAATTTTGCTACAATCATTTTAATATGTACTGTATATTACATTTCACATTGTATGAAGTAAATTAAAAGTAAACACTTCTTTGAAACTATTTTTAGAATTACAATAGTTTAATGATCTGATTGTTCTTAATTAAAGGAATCTAGGTTTTACTAATATTATTAGTTGATTGGAGTAACGAATTCCTGCCAGATGCTTTGAAGTAATTTTACGAAGTTCAAAACTAGATCTTCCACCTCCAAACACTGCAGATCGCTGAGACACCACTTCGTGTTCCCTCCAACGCTTGGTCGGCGACCAAGTCTCCAAACCCAGAGTTCTTGGAGAGGACGCCCGGTTTCCGTGTCGCTTCGCGCCCCGAGAGGTGGTCTTCGCCGCGCAGGTGCACACTCGCTGAACGCTTCCAGACCCTGCCGTGTTGGCCCTCACGTCGCCTTTGAGGAGCCGCTTCCCGCGAAACGGGCTCCCAGGCAAAATAATCCGTCGCCCGGCCCGTCCATCTTCTTCCACGCGCGGGCCGGAACCAAACAGTCGCACAGCGAGGGCCGCGACGCCGCTGACGCCGGGGGAGGCTGAGTGGGCGTGGTCGCCGGCGTGACGACGTGCAGTGGTGATGACAGGGCGCGGCTGGATCGTCGGGCGGTGGTTTGACCGATCGGTGGGTTGTTCGATCAGCGGTTGAACCGATCGTGTTTTTTTTGATCAGTAGTTTACCCGATCGGTGGTTTAACAGATCGATGGTTTAGCAGATCGATGGTTTAACACATCGGTGGTTCAACAGATCGACGGTTTAACCGATCGGTGGTTTAACAGATCGACGGTTTAACCGATCGTGTTTTATTCGATCAGTAGTTTAACCGATCGGTGGTTTAACAGATCGATGGTTTAACACATCAGTGGTTTAGCAGATCGACGCTTTAACCGACCGGCGGTTTACCCGCGCGGCATTTTCCCCGCGTGGCGCTTCTCCCGCTTAGCCGTCTTCCCCGCGCGGCGTGCTGCGGCGCCCGCTCCTCAGTACGGCACGTTGTTCCGCAGGTGCGCCTGCTTGCGCACGCCGTACTTCTCGCACTTGCCCCACCACGACATGCGCAGGCACACCTTGCGCGGCTTCAGCACGAAGCACTTGGTCTGCACCACGTTGAAGAACAGCTTGCCCACCAGGTTGGCCGCCGCCGTGTTCGTCATCTTGAGGCACGTCCGGAACCTGGAACAAACGACGCCGCCGCCCGTCAGTCAGGTCGTTGGCCCTCAGGCCCGGCGCGCGCGCGCGCGCTGGCACGGAGCGCGCGTGGGTTGCGCGTGGCCTCGTGGCACACTCAATCACAGGGAGGGGGGGCACGTGGTGTGGTTTCTCGTGAGGCGCGGTAATCTCTGAATAAAACTGATATAGAGAAGTTACTCTAAGAAGGGACCACTTAGATTCTTTGGGAAAGAAATGAACGTCATGGAGGGCAATGACATTGCAAGAGATAGTGATGGAGCCGTTTACAAATTAGCTAACTGTAAAGTAACGCACTGACAAAATGTGTGTATGGACGAAAATTGCAGTTACATTGCCAGCAGTGGCCAAACCGTAGCAGACAAAGCGGTCCCTTCTTATAGTAATCTTTCTATACAGTAGTTCCCTTTGACAATAGAACAACTTGGAATAGGGGTCGAAAACTTTAGTTTCCGTTCAGGATTAGGATCCATACACCTATTTAATGAATTCATTTTCGAGAGGTACGAACAGAAATACGTTCTGAAAATATTATTGATAAAATAAATAAAATTCGAAGTCAATGCATCATGAGTGATATAAACCTCTAACAAGTTTGCAGTTTTCAAGTCATCATCTGTTTTAAACTCGTATTTCGACCTGAGCCACTACAAAAGTAAAGCAAAGTATATGAGAGTTTTTTTTCATTTCGGAAGATATACAAAGCTATGGCAAGCAGAAAAAATGATCCTGGGCATTCTTTGTCATCAGCTACCATATTGTGGCCTTCCTTCAGGTAGTTTAGTGGATTAGTAAAGAAAGCCACAGCATGAAGGTAGAAAATTCGGCATCTCCCAAACACTGAAGATTTCTTGAACTTTGCCCACAGAATCTTCGTGAAAAAAATATTTATCACGTATGCACATATTACTGTTATTTTTATCGTTCAACTATAAAGAATAAAAATAGATTTTTCTATGAGATGCTCTTCGGATTGGGACTATTCAATTATTAAACTTGGAAACTACAATATTCTTTTCTGAAGCCGTACTAAGATTTTCTGGTGCGTGCCGTCTGCAAGAGCAACGCTACGGAAATGAAAACATTAAACTATTTTACCCGAGGATTTTATCTAAGAGTGAATTTCTATGGGTAAAGCGGGGAGGAAATCGAGTAGTTCAGTGGGCACATCATGTATTTCTTCTCACATCTGATGATGGAAAGGTTCAAATCTGACCAGTGTCTTACATTTGATTACGTATTTCTTTGACTTCACATTTGAGCGAACGTCATGCGTTTAGAAGCAGCACAAGTTGGCAACGGTCGCAAAGCACGGAGGCCATCCGCTGACAAACGTCGCGTGTCCGACTTCCCGACAGGCGACGCTGAAAGACTTACCTGGGAATCTGCTGACCTTTCTGCTGTTCTGAAAAAACTGATAGCAATGCGAGAACAACCTACCTCTCGTGCTCACGTTTGGAGTAGGTTTGTGCAAGTTGATGCTGGTACGCGATGCGGATTTCAGGTCACGATTTCCTGACTAAAAGTTGTGACTTCGTGAAAACTCCTTGCAGGAAGTGTTGCGAAGTATCCCTTTAAAGATCTGTAGATGTGTCCTGGGAAAGTGATTCGTCGACGCAGTTGAAACTGTGCAAATTTGCACGTGTGTGAATGTGAATGTAAATGTATAAATGATGTCAGAGTGGGGTACATTTTATTTCACTAAATAATTTTTGGCAGGTTTTGCTCGACAAAGTTCTTGAATGTGACCGCACAAAATTACGGAAATACGTATGGAATACTTCGACTGAACCTTTTTGGAATATGCTGCCCATTTCTTGACTTCAAATGACTCTCTAACAATTTATGTTGTATATTGGGCTCTTAATTTTGCAGGTTAATCATTTGGACATCTTCAGATAACTTTTTGCAAGAGATATTGTGTGTGGTATTTTGTTAGAATATTTTTATTTCAATGCCGAAATAAAGTAATGAAGACAGTGGTACTTATTACGTATTAAAATCCGTAAAGAATAGCTGCACAAACAGTTTTCTAAAACTGTGCCAGTAAATTCTTGAAGAGCCCCAAGCGATTGACACAACGTAGAGTGATAGATGAAAAAGGTTATTAATGACCCACAATGAAAAGACCAGACCACATAATTGAAGAAATGGCAGTCAACAAGGAACAAACTTTTCTTCCCAGGCTCCATCTTGAAGACCATGATATTTCAATTTCATTGTCACATGATTGAATAGAGTGAAAAATTGATTGAAAACGTTTTACATATCAAGAAAACTTTATAGGCGAGGAAAATAACGTTATTTTCATAATAGTCTGGCTGTTTTTCATCATTCGAGTTGAAACGCCATGAGGCGATGTTGAAACTCCATGTTGGCGATGACGCCTTCAGAGGAACTGTTCCCATGTGTGTTCAGGCAGGCGGGTAGGACAGTGTCAAGGACTTCTGGCCACGCCCGATGTGGAAAAGAAAAGAACAAATTAACATTGTGTAGATCGGAGAAACAACGTAATAGGCGAAGAAAATGCCACTAAAAGAGATTTAAATATTTTTATAAATAACTTATTTCTTATTTTAAATCTGCCGACCTACAGAATTTTCGACAAATCGTGTACTGTACACAGAAAAAAGCGAAGACGTCACCTAGTGGTGAACCTACAAACTCACTAACATCTCAAAGAAATTAGAGGCTGATAACTAAAAATATTCATTTCTATACCATGTGTACGTTTGAGACTTGTGATTTTTTTTATAGATTCCGTCATTGATGTTTTCAAATCTTGTTCTAAAACACGATCTGTTGCGTACCATTTTTAGCAAAACTGGAATAAAAGGCAGCGCGAGAGTCACGGCCTGTACGATCGTTGCGGCGGGCGGCGAGGTGAAAGGCCGCGGCCTCCCGGATCATCTCGTTGGCGGCGCAAGTGGGGCACGTGAGACGCCGCTTATCGCGAGGTCCCGGGTGGGGGAGAAGGGGGGGGGGCGCTCGCCGATCGGAAAAGCGCCGCCGCCGCCTTCATTATCTGCTACGCGCCCTCTGTGTTTTGCCGCCTCTCGTCTCGGCGTGCCCGCGAGAGAAAGGAGGAGCTGCAAGGCCGCTCACAGCGCCGCTACTTTCGTTGGGCTCCATGAAGAATAAATGAAAGCTTCACAATTTTTTATTTTATTATCGGTTTTTTTATGTATTGCGAACGTTCGTATTAAACGTCTTTTCTTCTTTTTGTCTCATCACCTTTTTCTTCTTCTGTTTCACCTTTTTCTTCTTCTGTTTCACCTTTTTCTTCTTCTGTTTCACCTTGCTCCTCTTCTGTTTCACCTAGCTCTTCTTCTGTTTCACCTAGCTCTTCTTCTGTTTCACCTTGATCTTCTTCTGTTTCACCTTGCTCTTCTTCTGTTTCACTTTTTTCTTCTTCTGTTTCACCTCTTTCTTCTTCTGCTCGCCTTGCTCTTCTTCTTCTGTGACGCCTTGCTCTCCTTTTCCTTTTTCCATCTCGCCTTGCTCATCTTTACCTTCTTCTGTCTATTCACCTTGGTATTTCTTTCCTTCTTGGTTTTATTCGTACGCGTCTTGCATTTCTTCTTTTAATTTTTCTTTATCTTTTCTTCAACTTTATTTACCAGCCACTGAGAATATTTGGATTCTTCGACAATGTTTTTATGGGACGCGTGGCGGTACGTCTTTGGCTACCACAATCGCATTCCTTGATACAAATAGATGGAGGGAAGCTGCAAGGCTGCACCGGATGGTTTTTCATGCGTCTCCAAAGAAAGTAATGAAAAGGAAGAGGAATTGCTTCGTCACGTTCGTTTATTAGCACATTAAGTGTCAAAAGAATGGAATATACGGAGTCCATTTGCCCGTTTATGGGTCAGTTCCATTATTTTCTGGAGAGTAAACCAAGAGACCTGTTATTCCCTCGAGTTGTAAAAGTCGCTAGTAACATTCCTCCAATGGAGGACCGAATAACATATTAAACAAGTTAATTCCCCGTCCCTAAACAAGATCTTCTCTAATCCTTACGAGGATGACCGCCCCCGGACTCCACATTCAAATAATAGAACCCGGTTGTACACGGCTTAATTCCACCAGCTACACCTCGCCAGGGGAACATCTTGTTGAGAGTCCATTATTTGTCACCGAGGTTTTTGTGGAGCGCCACTTACGAAAGCATTAGCCCTATCGCCAGGCCCCTCGACCGGACGGACGGTCGACCGGACGGAGGCTCCGGCCGTAACGAGCTGCGAGCGGCCGCGGCGCGCGACGGTGGCGGTGGCGGGGGCGACGGCCGGGGCCGTGCGGCATAAAACAAATTTAATTTACTCCCGTAAAGGGGCTATCGGCGGATTTATCATGACCCGCGTGTGGTCGCGTCTCGTGGCCGCTACGGTCAATTAGGGCCCTGGGCGCGGGGAGGGCGCGGCGCGGTGCGAGGTGGAGCGCAACGAGGCGAAGCGAGGCGGAGAGAGGGCGACAGGGTGGAGGGAAGGGTTGGGGACGATGCTGGACAGTTGGACGCGGGAAGAGGAGCGAACGGGGCGGGGCGAGGTGAGGTGAGGAGAGGTGAGGTGAGAGGTGAGGAGAGGGTGAGGGAGAGGTGAGGAGAGGTGAGAGGAGAGAGGTGAGGAGAGGTGAGGAGAGGTGAAGGAGAGAGAGTGAAGAGAGGTGAGGAGGTGAGGTGCGAGTGTGAGGAGGTGAAAGGGTGGGAGAGGAGTGAGAAGGGCCGGACTGAGGTGCGGAGAGGCGTGCGGAGAGGGTTGCGGAGAGGTGCGGAAGAGGTGCGGAGAGGTGAGGGATGAGGTGAGGAGAGGTGAACGGAGAGGGTGAGGAGAGGGTGAGGAGAAGGTGAAGAAGGTAGGGTGAAGAGGAGAGAGGTGAAGAAAGGAGAGGTGAAGAAGGTGCACAGCCAGTGAAGAAGGAGAGGTGAGAAGTAGAGCTGAAGAAGAGGTGAGAAGAAGAGAGTCGAGACAGAGGTGAGGAGACAC